CTCGAGGTTCACGAGCAGCAGGCGTAGAAAGGTCGCACTTGGGAAGGATTCTCGCATCGTAGTAAAACCGTCGCTTCCCTTCTTCCCCGAAGAGACGAAAATGTTCTACACCTTTCTCGATCAGATCGTCCCAAGCAGACTTCACCATGATAACGCTGCAAGCTTTAAAAATATGAATTGGCTGTTAGACGCAACAAAGTTTGGAGGCCAGAATGTGAGCGTGTTAAAAGAATTCAGCGTGGAACACAACTGCTCAGTGGAGTTTCCTCTTTTGCTTGGTTTCGCTGGACAGGTGGGTCGGAAGAGCTGTCGGAAGCAGCTTGTTAAAATTGCACACCAATGACAAAGCGGAACGCACAGTTTCCTCTTCGCAACACTGACGTCAGTTACAGGACTATGTTCCTGTCTCGCAACAAACAACATCAACATACAGTACAAAACAAACAACAAGCAACACAGATCTGTTCCCTTTGCATGCTGATTGATTGAATAAGCTCAGCTTCTCTATTGAACGCAAAGAAACAAAGCATCAAACATGACTCTGGACGCAGCCATTCGAGAAAGAGCCGAAAACTGGGCCAAGCTGGATCCAAATCCGGTGACTTCCAAGTATGTGCAGGAGTTGCTCGAACAGGCTTCGAGTCAAACTGATGCCGCCGAGAAAATCTGCAATCTCTTTCCAGATGGCCGAATTGGCTTTGGGACGGCGGGTCTCCGGTCTACCATGACACCTGGGCCGATGGGGATGAATGACCTCGTGGTGGTCCAGGCTGCTCAAGGGATTGCCAAGTATGTGCTGCAGCAGAATCCAGCCAAGGAGGGAGAAAGGCTAGGCGCAGTCATTGGTTATGATCATCGAGAGCAAAAGTCACTGGAACTGTCGTCACTATCATTTGCCTTGCTGACGGCGTTGGTTTTTCAGCAGGCTGGTCTGGATACCGTCCTGCTAGATGGATTCGTTGCCACTCCATTGGTGCCATTTACTCTCTCCAAGAGAAAAGCTGTGGTGGGTATAATGATCACTGCGTCGCACAACCCCAAAAATGATGCTGGCTACAAGGTATATTGGAACAATGGATGTCAAATACGAGCTCCCGTGGACAAGGGGATTGCAGAGGCGATTTTGGAAAATTTGACTCCTTGGGTTAATTACGGAGCCTTGTTGAAGGCAAGAAAGGAACAACGTTCGGCAGAACCATGCTTGGGCCTCAGTAGCCCCGACACGACAAAAGAAATGATTACTGCCTATTTTGAAACCATCAAAAGTTGTGGTTTGGTGACTGGTCAGGCTAGTCTTTTGAGCCAATTCAAAGACGATGCTTGGAAACCTCCTTCCATCGCCTACACAGCCATGCATGGAGTGGGCCTGCCATTTGCTGTCAGATCCTATGAAACGTTTGGGTTTCCGCCCTTTCAAGCTGTTCCCAGTCAAATGAATCCGGATCCGTCCTTTCCCACGGTACCATTTCCCAATCCAGAAGAAAAGGGTGCGTTGGATATCTCGAAAGCATTTGCAGAAGAACACGGCTGCGATGTGATCATTGGCAACGATCCCGACGCTGATCGTCTTGCTGTGGCAGAACGAGACAGAAAGACGGGAAAGTGGACGGTTTTCACGGGGGATCAAATCGGTAGCATGCTGGGTTGTTGGCTTTATGAACAAGTCGGAAAACCCAGTGGGAAGGTGAGTGTGAGACTACAGAAGTCCAGCTGGTGGGAAAAAGCCTGAGACTGTCTTCCTAATGCTACGTTGCTTGCTGCCACCAGCGTGTATCAATGTGTGCATCTACAGTCTCCTCTAAGATGCTTGCAGAAATTGCTCGTGTAGAGGGCTTTTACTTCGAAGACACTTTGACTGGGTTCAAGTGGATTGGTTCTCGGGCGGAGGAACTCAACCGAGAAGGATACTTTGCATTGTTTGGGTATGAAGAAGCAATTGGATTCAGTTGTGGAAACGTTGTATTTGACAAGGATGGGATCAGTGGCCTCGGTGTGTTTACAGAGCTCACGTACAACGTCTATCAAAAGGGGATGAGCCTGGCACAGCACATGCAAAGCCTATACGACAAGTATGGGGAATTCTGTAGCAACAATGGTGAGTGAGGACCTGCGGACTGCCTGCGCAACGTGGTTTGAGATATGTCTTTTTGCTTCGATTCTCTTGATTACTCATTTCCGCTTCCGCTGTCTTTCACTCTCTTGACTCAGGATACTTCATTCTTGAGGACCCCAGTGTTGTGCAAAAGATCATGGACATTATGACCTGCAATGGGCAATTCATGTTGGATACCGTAGGCCCGTACAAGGTGGATTCCACGCGATACTTGGGCGAACCTGCCTACGATTCAACCACCGACAATAAACTTCCCCGGTTGGCAACATCGAAATCATCCCCAATGATAACGCTTCGCTTCACCAATGGTTGCGTGGCACAATTTCGAGCAAGCGGCACAGAGCCAAAGTTCAAGTATTACATTGAAATGAAAGGCCAGGTGGGGGCTTCGAGGGAGAACGTGGAAGCCGAGCTGATGAAGTTTTCAGAGACAATCATACGAGAGTTGGTCAAACCTGAGGAGCATGGTTTGATTGTCCCATCCAAGGGATAAGTCAACAACTAGGCCATACGCTCACAGAAAAGAAAACGATAGACAAGCTAATAGATGTCGTAGCGTAGCGTTCATTTATTGGCAATTGCGCAATAGCATAGCCACAATCGCCATTACCTGGTACTGTCTACATGCTAGAACCCTTCCCCACGAAACGCCCGGTCAAATTGAGCGACAGCTCCCGGACCTTCCGGAAGCGCCCTAGATCCAAGGTTGTATAGAAATGCCTCCCTCCATTGAATCTCATTCGTAATCACCAAAGCAGCATCATCGAGGAGCGCGGAGTCATCGAGCTGTTGCGCAGATGATTGTTGCTGATGTTCAGGCAAAGAGGAGGAACTACTCAGGTCCGAATTTTCGCGATTGTAATTGTGATTGGACGCCAGGGTTTCTTCTCCATTCTCCAACACTTCGACCCACCGAGCTCCCGTTTCGGTTCGTCGTAGACGCCGTCGATGTGCTGCTTGCTGCTGCTGTTCGGGAGATCGTTTCGGTGGCATTTCAAAGGACGAGTAGAGTCCCCAGCAACTCTCCATGACAAAACCCCAGTTTTGCGTGGGCGAACGCCGAATGGAGTAGGTCGGTACTTCCCTGCCTCCCACGGAGAATCGCATGTAGGACCCCGTCGGCCGTTCGGGTAAATCCATGGGTCGCCGTGTCAAGAATCTCCAGGACATGCTAAAGGGGGGTTGGACCAAACGACCAGGGCGTGAATTGTGGTGGTGGTTGTGTGGCTGTTGCTGTTGTTGTTGTTGTTGTATTCCCGCCAAGGATCCAAAGTTGGGACTGACGAGCTCCGGTTCCGAATCCAGACTGCTGGTGGCGGTGGTATTGGAGGAAGAAGAGGAACTGCTCGTTCGACGAACATCCCCAGCTGCTGGAATGTACTGAAGTACGGATCCATCTTTGAGACAGACCATTTTGCGACAGGGGAGTCCATTGTGCCACGGATCGGTTTGCGTCCAGTCTGCCCCGGCACTTTCCTTGAATCGAAAGGACCAAACGGTGCCCGTGTGTGTATCTGGATCATAACAGAGTTCGTCGATGGTCAAATGCTGTCGTTCCTTGGCATCTCTGATAGATTTCGGGTAGGCATGGAAGAACCAATCGTTGGGGAGAGTTTTTTGTTCGGGTATGGTTGGAACGTGTACCTTTCGAGCCCATAGTTTCCGACAAAGATTTTCCCAGCCCGCTTCGTTGCGCGATGCCAATTTTTTCCAATTGCGACAGCATTGTCTGACTTTGAGCAAGGACCGCACGTTTAGAAAGTTTGTGATTCGACAAATGACTTCATCGGGAAGGGAGGAACACAGCAAGACAGGAGATACCACTGGTACATCCCGTTCCTCGTCGGAGACATCGGAAAATGGATCAAAGTTGATCAAGTCAATCATGGAAGACGACGAGTGCGAGTCGGCACAAGACATTACTTCGTCCTCCTCTTCTGAGCCTGGCAGTTTGTCCCGCATCAGCAGTTTACGCGCCAGATTCTTGGAGTGTTTTCGGACAATGGTTGGTTTGATGGGAATTATTTTCTTCTTCATGGTTTCTTCTTGGTCTGCAAGTTCATTACTGGTACAATTGCAAGTGGTGGCTGATTGTTCGTCGTCCTCGACGCGGCGTGGACTTTGGAATTGTGGACCAAAGCATGACGCCTGATCATTTTGGCAACTGCTGTTGCCTTGGCTGCTTCCTTGATCGCTTGTGGATTGCATGTTTGCTTCCGTGATACGAATAGCAACTCGCGCAATAGAGATGCGGCTGCAGTAACGGCGAGCTTCCAGTGTTTGACAGAGGTCCACTTTTGGCGGCTATTGTCCGTCTCCCACTACTATCAATTGGTGTCGTCCAGGAAACTTCTTTGATTCAAACAAGGGACACCAGTTGCAATAACTATCTATGGTACCGGTATCCACGAAAGGAGTCGAGTCGCCCCAAGATCCTTCCGTTGTGTGTGGCGTGTTGCTGGACTGTTCGGTTGATTGATGATGATTTGGAAAGAAGGAACAAAGAAAAATCTCCCAGGACCGAGGTTGCAAAAGGCTTTGCGAATGTCACGGCGAACGAAACCTGCAAGGATAAAGTAGACAGCTGCCACAGTGAAGTCAATCAATCAGACAAGTAGAAACAGAGGATTGAAGGCAATCGTTGGTTGCAGGTTTGTAAAGCAACAACTCATGGACAACACCCAAGTTAGAAGAATTTGAGGTGAGGTCTGAGAAGGGGGGAGGCTGTGGGAAGCGTTCCACCACCTTTATGCATAATTCTTTTTTGAGCCAAATGGACGCATCTGGAGAACGAAGATTTAAGCAGTTCAACACGACTGCAGGTTTCCGTTTTTAGGGTGAGGGCTTCCGTTACGTCTCATTTTTCTGACGTCCATCCATCGAGCCGTTGCATGCCAAATGGCGAGCTGCAATTCTGTTCGGAAGCAATTGAGCTATCATAACGATGAAACACACTCTCTTCATAACCCTCTCTTCCAGCCTCATCCTTTCAAAAGCTAAAATGAAGGCAGAAACTCCTACAACAGCCATCGCGGTGTTGTTCCTGCTTTTCCAGTGCACCCATGCGTTCTTGGAGGGAGATCCCTCTTCCCTCCAGAATCGTCCACCACAACGCCGTGGATATCATCCCAACACAATCCGACCTGCTACGGTCCTGTCGCACAATGATCCCCTCAAGCCCAGAAATGGAGCATCCGTGCAAAACAATGTTGGAAAAGTTAGTCCCGATTCCATCGACAGTTTCGCCAACGACATGACAACAGTACTCAAGAAACTTCGGCATAGCAATGATGATCCAGAAGTCCCAGGTGGGTAGCGGTAGTTCCTATTATTGATAGTGCCGATGATTGCTTTTGGCGATGGAGAAGATTGGGTCTCAATTTGTTTTACTGTTGTACTACTGCATAATTGCATTCAAGCCCTTTTGCGACAACAACAACTTTCCGTCACAAATCCTTGGACGTTGGACGATTGGATCCAACATTCCACGCGGTGGCGATTCCTTCACTACGCACAATCTCTTCCCACTTCTCGACTCTTGCGACGAGTCGCACCCCAGTTTGCCGTTTTCATCGTCTGGACTATCTTTGCCGTATTTATCTCCCCAAGGGGAGTCATTCATCAGGCAGTGGTGCCACTCACGCCGCTGTCATTGGTGTCCACCTTTGTGGGGGCTCTCTTGACAATGCGAAGCAATACCGGGCTGAGTCGATTGTCGGAAGGACGGGAAGCTTGGGGGCGGGTCGTCTTTCGAACTCGTGATCTTAGTCAGCTCATTGCCACCAAGATATATCCCAAGGATCCACAGTTGGCAATATTGATGGGTACGTCAATAGTATTATATGTCACAGTTTCCTCAGAATCAATGTACAGATCACTTCTGGGATGGCATCATTCTCAGCTTCTCCATCTTGGTTGTTGCAGCACGACATGTCTCCGTCTTTGGCTGGGTACTCAAGGCCCATCTTCGAGGGACAGAGAAAGATGTGGCAGATATTGTTCGCACCATGCTGCCTCCTGTAGATGCAGAGTACATTCTCCGGCAACGAAAACTGCCCACTGGTATTCTGCTCAAACTTCGTCAGGCATGCCAACACTTGGCGTCCCAGGGAAAATTGACCATGGCAGAAGAAATGGCCTTGGATCGGAGCGTGGAAGAACTGGACCATGCCCTCATGACGACACAACGTATCACTGCCTCCCCCATTCCTCCACTCTACACCAGTCACACCTCTCGACTATTGATGTTTTATTTGGGATTCTTGCCACTGGCACTTCACGGGAGTTCCCTCACTGGTTTCGTGACGTTCATCGTTTCGGCAGTGGTGGGATATACCATGTTGGGACTGGACGAGATATCTCACCTCCTGGAGCTGCCATTTCGTCTCATGCCCTTGCTACAGTTGTCCAAGTTTTCCATGCAAGATGTTGGAGACTCGTTGGTGTGTCCTCCAGCTCCCCTGGGCGAGAGCCTGTCTCAGCTAGCAGACACGCCCACAAAAATTGAAAAAGGAAGCCAGGATCATCCACCTCCCGGCTATTGGTGAATTTTTGCACTATACTTACCATCTCACACAATATATATCATGGAGCCCAACAGAAATGCCGCGCAATGTTGATCACAGCTTGCAGAATCTCTCTAGAATGGATTGGACAAAACACACGTGGAGGAGTTGCATTTTTTTTGTCGGCTATCTATAAATTTTCTCAATTTTCTCTACTTGCAGTTGAAATACTACAGTATGCATGCTTCAACTCAATCTGCATTTTTTCGAAAACCAAGCCAACCCCACAGTCCACCACTACTTTTGTCCTTTTCTTCTTGCTCCTGTAACGCCGCCATATTATCCCTGGATCGTTTGGCCGACTCTTGTAATATCTTCATTTGTTCCATATAAGCTTGCCGTTGCTCTCTTTCCTTCTTTTCACGTTGAATTCGATCCTTGACTTCTTCTCGGACCTTGTCTGGATCAGAGGGGGGATACTTGATGAATTGCCAATAATCGGCATTCGCCTTGACTCGGTCGGGATTGTTCCAGTAGATCGAAGCACCCACGGGTATCATCAAATAGACACCGAATTTCCAGAACTCCAGCGCAAAACCTGCTCTTCCTTTCACCATTGTTGGGATGGGAGATGAAAGGGTGCACTATAAATCCGTCTACTACAATATAGTCAGAGCCGCAAGAGAAGTTGCGAAGTCCATTCAAGTTTATGGCCATCTTCTTCCTTTGCATTGGGCTGCGTGTGGTGGCAACTGACTCACTCGGACGAAAGGGAGAGGGTTATTGAACCTCCCGATCGAACTCAAATCGGTTGAGTGACGAGTGACAGTCGATTAGATTAGCTCGTGGCCACCCAAACGGTTTTACTCATTCTCATTTTTTCTTTCTTCCTCCTGTTGAAAGCCAAGAGACCGAGCAGACAATACCGTACACAGCAGCAAGAACCAACCATGCCGCAAAGCAACGTCCCCAAGCATCTGCGCAAGAAGAAGAAGGGCCATGCCCCGGCTCATCAGAACACGTTTGCCTTCCAGCACAATCCCAATTCCACAAAGACGAGTAAAATTATGGATCTGCCCAATGTGCACGTGTGTCGTCGCTGTCACGACAAGATTGAATGGCGCAAGAAATATCGCAAGTACAAGTCTCGCACGCAGCCAGGGAAATGCAACATTTGCCAACAAAAGCGAGTCATGGCGGCCTATCACACGATTTGCGGAAAATGTTCCGAGACCGACAAGGCCAAGAAACTTGTCAAGGAGCATTTGCTGACGAATCCGCCGAAACAGCATCAATCTACTAATACCGATCATCATCAAGACAATGATGATCCAGATCGAGAGGAAGAAGAAAATGGCAAGAACATGGAACGTATTGGCGAGGAGGCAAAGGAACAGTTGGAAGTAAATGCAGAGCCTGCCAACGCCACCGAGGAAGAGCCAGAGGCGTCTACAGCAAGTACACGGAAAGAAGGCCGTCGAGCATGCTGCGTGTGCGTCAAAGAATTTGCTCTTCCAGATCCAGCGGATGAACCCAAGGAAGAAGATCCCCTGACATCGGGCAAGAAACTTACGTTGCGACAACGAAAAACGTTGGAACGACAAAAGGAAGCCGCCAAAAAGAAGCAAACCACTTCTAAAAAGAAACAAGATGACAACACCGATCCAGCAAATGACAATCAGCGACAAGACAACCCGTTTGTGGATTCCGATTCGGATGGCGATTTTGATCCCTTGGTGGATTCCGATGAAGACGAAGATGACCCATTTCTCAAAGCGGTAGGAGGCAAGTTGTTGACTGGGGAGGCCTACCAAAAAGCTTTGATGGAGAAGGAACAGCGGCAGGCTTAGATAGCTAGATTGTCTTTAGAATGCCTTTGCAACTTGGCATCATATTCTAATAACTCAAGATTCGTTTCGATACTTCACCGGACATACGAGATGTTTTGCTCAAGCATACAAATGACTACAGTGTACCGCATCGGTGGTTAGGAGAATACGGATACAGTACCTATCTGTATTTTCTGCCAATGTACACACCTCGGGCGCGTGCAACATCCTACCAATGAGCTGTGCGAATGTCGTTACGGTCACACTATGCTCATGGAGTTAAGTCTTTTCGCTGAGCTTTAGCACCTGGTACTGCAAGGCTTTCAATGCGTACCCTACTTTCGACAGAGCTATCTGGACGAATAGGCCTGCCTTGGACTATATTTGATCAGCTAAAAGCCGATGAGGCAAGTGGTTTCATTGGCAGCAGTCTCCCGCATGTCATCCTGTTGACTAGTCTAAGCAGCATCAAACAAAGCATCAACTACACGGACGTTAGGCTACTTGGTTAACGATCCTGCTTCTGCCACTAATATAGACTATGTACACTTGATGCAAGCAACTTTCACACTTTCTCTGTCTCCATGTTCTCCCAGATTCTCTCCTCCATCACATCAAATCCCAATACGTTCAGGTTTACCGATTGGCCCACTCTTGCAAACCTTTGCCACAAGCTCGCAGGATTCTGTGTTGTGCCCATCTCAAGGAACTGGCGGCCCGCAAGGCAATGATTTCTTCTGCGTTATCCACACTGTCAAGAAGATCTACAGCATTGCTGTCCCGATTCTTCTTTTGCTGATCATCCAACAGCAAGTAAAAGGATACCTCCGAGATTCGCTTTGCCAACTTCAAGGCGATTTCCGGCGTCAATTCAGGTTCTGGGTCGCTGGATAGTTCTGCCACCATTTCATAAGGAATGGTCGAAGGCCCTACCTCATACCGCCTGCCAGCAACGTAAATTTCAGCTACATCTTCGTCCATGCCATCATCGTCGTCTTCGTCGTCATCATCATCATCCACTCCATGCATAGAATAGCGTGGTACGAATCCATACGACAACAAACACTTCCATGCTGGTTTGGCCGAATCTCCATAATCAATCAGTACTTCGTCATTGGCATTGACATCTCGAGTGGCCCGTACGCAAAGGAACGGATTCTCACCCCCTTCGACACCAAATTGAGCATTGGCACATCCTCCTCCCTGACTATTGGACGATCCATGATTGAGAAGATCAAAGACGGGCGCCAGGAGTCGTAATGGTGGATTTGTCGTTCTTGCCATGTCCTCAGCATCTTGTAGTTGTTGCGCACGACAGGATCGTGTCTGAACCACATCCAGTGCGTCCTGACACATTCGTTCCAGCTCGGAGTTATCCTTGCCCAAGTCCAACGATTGCAATCCCTGCATCAACTGCTGAATGGCTTCGGCACGTGCAAAATAGGCACTGTCCACGGCCAATTCCAACGCCGTGCATCGGGCACTATGCAAGACCGGTTCGGACCAGTGAATGGGCAAAGAGGCTCGAAGATAATTGCCATCGGGAAGAAAGGAAAGCCACATTTGCTTTCCCTCCAGTATTGATTGCTGTTCTGTATCCTCCTTTCTTAATTGCAAGTCCAAAACAGAAGCTGCCAATCGTGCAGCCCATTCATCACTGGGGTTATTGTAGGAATATTCCATATCTTCATCATCACCATCGGTGTCCTCTTGCTGTTCCTGCTTCATTCGTGTCCACCAGTCAGGTGGTTTATCATCTCGTAGACAGGAACTCAGGGGAATCTTGAGAATCAAATCACCCTGTTCGACTGGATGGTTCAGGTAGACACCTCGGACTCCATCGTCGGGTGTGGATTCCAACCGCAAAAGATCGGGCTGTTCTATCACAACATCCAACTGTTTGCAAAGATCTTGCAGTTGCTGGTTTTCATCCTTGCTTTGCTGATGATGTTCATCTAACTCTTGAGAAGCAGCTAGCATGCTTTCCAAGAGCTGGCTTGTTGTTGCAGAAGCACCTGCAGATGCAGTGTTGGCATAGTAGGGAGAGATAATGTTGGAGTGGGAACAATAACGACGAAAGACGCTCCTACTTCCTGACGTTGGCAGTAGAGGACGGCTGCTTCCACCGATCAAGGCAAATGCAGCCACCGTTGGGCACGCCGCAAGGGCTATTAGCGCTTTCTTCGACACCATTGTTGTTGCCTAATATTCAATAGATGATATTGAAGTGATCGCATGAATTTGATGGCAAGATATTGGATAAGACAGGGTATCCATCTGCCGTTCTGTTTTTTGATGGCTGTTGACGGCCGAGAATCTTTCAATCAGTCCTCCGAGAAAACGTCAGAAAAGTGAGCACCATCTGCTTGGGAACCGCTGACAGTTTCCACGCTGAGAAAACCCACGCTCGTTGGAACAAGATGCACGTCTTTGCTCACAACTAACTTGGGAAAGCAAAGCAAAAGCTCAAGGACGATGACATCTTCCCCCGAAAAGGTTGTTTTCAATGCGGGTGGGACCAAGTACGAGGTGGCGAGATCCATTATTCAAGCCTACCCAAGCACCATGTTGGCCAAGCTCGTCTCAGAGACGTGGCAGCAACCTGCAAAAGCCAACAAGGAAGTCTTCATCGATCGCGACGGCCTTCAGTTTCGGTACGTCCTCTCCTACATGAGAGACCAGAAAGTGTATCTGCCCATGGGAGTCGCCAAGGCTTCGATCCTTCAAGACCTGGCGTATTTTGGATTTGAGAATGTCCCTGAAGACGCCATTGGTGGTAGCTGCAACTACGAAGCAGCCGTCCAAGTGCAAAAGTGCAAGCAGAAATATGCCACTGCGTCATCGGAGCTAGACAAAGCCATCAAAGACATGCAAACCAAAAAAGAACTCGCCAACCTTGCACGCAATGCTTACAATCACGTAATCAGCAGTACTGATTTGATCCTATATGCTGGCAAAAGCCTCGTTCTTCAACTGTCTAGTGGCCCTCGCCGACAAGTCGACTATTTGAATCAGTGTCTGTCAAAAGGAGGTCTGAAGTTTGTTTCCCCCGATACGAACGGAAACGTGAGGTTGGCTCCTTTGTAGAAACGATACCCCAAATTTGAGACTATTCGAGGTTGGTTGGAGCACTCAAAGAAAAAGGTTTATTTCAGCCGGTTAATTATACACAATACTTCAGTTCTCCTGTCTTGTGCATTGCTTTGATTGAATTATGCTGCTTGTAATATCGGCCTGACGTGCTTGGCTGGCACAAAAGCGTCTACGAACGCCCCATCATTCCAATTTCATGCCCAGCTCTCTGTGAATATACCGATCGTCCAATCCCTCGTTGTGTGAATTGAAGCGAATGCTTAATTAGACCTTACGTTCAGAATATCAAAATTGAAACCTCTGCTATTGCTTGCAAGGCACTTCTCTAACGCCTCAACAGTGCTGTCGTGCTGTCAAGCTGATTGTTGTTGTGCTTTGCGCGCTTGTCGGTTCTTGGACATTTGAATGAGGGTATCGGTGAAGAAAATGGTGCTTCCCACAGGAATCGCCACGGCAATCATGTTCTTGCCCATGCCTCGCACCAAAAACTTGCGACCAAGTTCCTTGTACAAGTTGCGCACAGTTTCCAGTAGTGGCGTATTCTTCTTGAACATTTCATTGCGAATGACATCTAGTGGATTGGTCAAAGCCGCCCCTGCCACTCCAGCAGTGGCACTCTTGGCCGCGGAACGCCACAATCGATCCGTGTCCACCGTGGGAGACGACGGGTCCACTGGAGGCAGTACTTCTTCCATGTAGTCCTTGATCACGACGGCTGTGCAGTATTTGGGAACCGTCTTCAAGATTCCTGCAGAAGTCCCATGCCACATTCCTCTCAGACCGTACTTTTCGTAGATGAATTTAATGGCCGATACCGTATCGGGGCAGTTGAATCTGGGGTTCTGCAGCGTAATCGAGGCTCTCACAATAGGTTGATTGATGCACTGGACCATGGTGCTCACACAGAGCGGGGGTAGCAGTGTGGAAATCGATTCATTCTTGACGCCATGGCTTTGCAGAAATTCCTTGCCTCGATCACTACCCCAGAAAATGGCTGCTCGAGCCCATGTCATTCCCAACACTACTCCCACCATTCCCTTGTAGGGCGGCGCAAACGCGTAGACATAGGGTGTCAACGTGGCGGGAATTCCAACTCCACCAATGCTCACCGCTGCCACGCGGAAACCACTCTGACCCACAGCACTCGCCCTCCAAAGTGGATAATTCAAACAGGCGGCCCCAAAGGCGGCCAGGAAGTATTCATTGGGATATTCTTTTGCCAAGGAACCTCCTCCCATGGTTATCTGGTTGTCTTGTAATTGTGGTGGTGGAAAGATGGGGGAGGTCTTTCGTCGTCTGTTTTCACTGGAATTCAGGTCCTACAGTTTTACCGGGTCTGACGGTGACGTGGGATCGTGACATCATCGATTGACCAGTTATCCACGCTCACCTCTGGCCAGCGCCCGGCAACCTGGTTTTTCTTTCCACGTTAAAAGGGTACCGATACCGGTACCGGTACTGTGCCCAATGCAGCGGATATGCAAAATGCAAACCTCGCTCCTGCGCATGCGGGTTGCTCCCAAGGCAGTCTTTGAGCAAACACTCAAGAGCACAGACTTTATAAAGCAGTGAGCACCAACATTTCCGAAGTACGTGTACCTCCACTCAGCCATTGGAAACTGGAACTGGTTCTGATCGTTGCAATGGATCCCAGCTGAAGAAGTCGACCTATGCGCAGTACATGTAGCTAGAGAAAATATCCAATTCTAAAGTCCTCTGCGTGCGTTGTGCAATACAAACGTCCTAGGCATTGATGTTATCATACGTGGCTTGATGGATTTCAATGTCCACCGAGCGTGAATTTCCACGCTCAGTTACCGACTGGATTCCACGCATCGTGGTTTCACAAAACCAACGTCTCCCCGTTGCCCTTTCAAATCAACTCTTTACATGTACTAGTAGCAACCCGACCTCGACTCTGCACAAGCAGAATATCAAAACCACTGCCTTTCATGCGTGAAAGCAAGTCTGACGATAGTACAATGGCAAGTGGAAAAGGCTATGTCTTGATATTTTAGAGCTGGCCTTGTCCTTCCTCCCCATCGTTGACAAGAGTGTCTTTCCCACCATTGCTCTGGTTAGCAAGGAATTTCATCAGTTCTGTATGGATGAGCTGAAGCAGCATTGCGAAAATCACCATCCTGGAGTGCTCAAGCTAGAAAAGCTTTGGAGACAGAAGGATGAAGCTAGCAATGACCACAACTGGTTGAATTTTGGGCGGTATCTAAGTTTTGTACAGACTGCAGAGGACCCGGAATCACCAGTAATAAAAGCGAGGCGGCGAAATGCATTTAACAATCAAATCAATGCGCAGAGAGCCAGTTGGCTGAAGGACTACCGTATGAAGTTGTGCTTGAGGTGACAGGACTGCAACGCAACGAAAACTCGTTGGAAGTTGGCCCAACTCCCGCTCCTATTGCTTGTGGTATCAAACCTCTGGAGTAGTACTTGTCATATAATGGATATTTCCTGACCTCCGATTTCCAAATTAACGACAAGAACATCTTTGCTGATTGGAAAGCAGCTCGTTTCTTTATCATCCTTCGCCGGAAATCCTCTGGTGAAATGGCAGTGGTTGCGAAACAGACCAAACCGGTGATACGTCCCGGTGATATTGGACGCAAAATCGGTGGCCGTGTGGGTGGAATGACCCGGTTGCGAGCCCAAGTTGCGGTGCCTTTTAACCCCCGGAATGCATTGGCCCGTCCTGATTACTTGCGCGTGGAATTCTCGGCCCGTGGTGTAGTTGACAAACTAAGTTGGTTCTGAACATTCCATGACTGAAACGTGCAGGAGCAAAGGAGACATTCTATGATGAGCATTCTCAAAGGGAACACGGTTCAGTATGCCTATACAACACAACTACAGTTTTCGCCTTTGTGTGTATTGTGTAATTCCAGAAAGACGACACAAAACGTAGATTGCAAACTATCTTTTTCCTGGATTGGTGCCAGTGCATTTCTCTCTCTTTAGGGCGGCATGTCAAATGCTAGATTGCCACAGGACTTGGCACCCGCCACCATCATGTCATTCTGTTCGTCGTCCTCCTCGATGGTCTGTTGTTGATACTGAGCCATGTGACTCATGCTGACATGAAAGTCCTGTCCCGACGTTCGTTTGGTAATGCGATTCTTTTGTACCGTTTTTTCTCTGCTCGAAGCATACTCAACCGTCTTTTCCTTGTACTTGGCAAATTTGTTGCGTATATCGTTGGCTCGTGTGGTCGACGACTTTTGTTGCGGTTTTTTCTTGGGACGACGGTGGACGGCCGCGGCGGAGAGTGCCACTTTGCCGGGCCCATTGCCTCGCGAATTTGAATTTTCGAAAGAATGACTGCGGGTACGTCGCAACTTTTCCTTGGAATGGCGCGCCAATCGTTCGTCTTCGACGGTGGGGGTCCAATTGCTGGTGCTCATGTGATGTCGATTGCGTCCTCGCTTGTCCGATTTTTTAGTACTATTGTGGTCTTTGCTGCGCGAGACCTCTTTGGAGGCTCTCCGAGGTGGATCTTTGGGAAACACTTTGGTCATGGTAGCCGAGGGTATTTTACTGGTATTGTGTTGTTGTTTGGTCCGAGGCGATGGCGGACTGGTGTCAATATCGGCATCGCTGTATGCTCCAGGATGCGCCGACTCTTCTTCTGGCTGTTCCAAATCGAATAGGGACAGACTTTGTTGCTGTTTCAAGAATACTTCTTCCTCTTCCTCGTCGTTGTGTTCGGGAATGGTCGCCGCCGTGTGCGGTAGTCGTCGTTGATTATAGACGGTGGATTGTGAATTGTCGAGTGTCAATCCACTGACTTGGCGTGTCAATTGGACATTGACTTCCATGCCTTGCATGGAATCCTCTTTTTCGGATGTTTGCTTTTGTTTATTAGTGTTGGTGTCATGATGAAATACCAAATTGCCATCGGACGCCGAGAGTCTGGATCGTGCGTTGTTGCGTTGTCGCGCTAATTGTTGTTGTTGTTGTTGTAGATTTCCGGCCGTGAATAAATCTTCCAATTGCAATTCTGGTTCACTTTGGTCGAGCTGCTGTAGATTGCGGGCACTCTGCGAATAGCGGTCCTTTCGTGTGTTGTTGTTGTTGTTGGTTTTCTTTTTGGACGGAAACGACGGAATGATGACATGAACGTGGTCTTCGTTTTCATTTTCATCCATGTCGTCCTTGCCGTGGATGAGTTCCTGCAATTGTTCTCGCTTGCGCTGATCGAGTCGTTCGGCAATGGATGATTTTCTCCATCGTCGATCGGATGGTTTTTCGTCAAGTTTACGAGTTTTGGAAATGGTCACGTCCAATTGGGATTGTTGCTTCTTGGCGGCGTCTTGTTCCTGTTGAACCAATTCCGAAATGGACGTGGGTGGAACAAAGGGATGCAGTAACGATGACGTGGGTCTCTTTTTAGTATTATTGGCAAACGGCGACAGCTGCTGTTTGGAGAAATCATGTTCGGATGGTTTGACGGGAGGCGCTGGTGGCGCCAACAACAAGGGTGTCGAAATGGCGGTACTGGACGACAACAATCGGTTGATGCGACTGCTACTGTTTTCGGCTTGTTCTCTCCAACTCTTGTGAAACGACGACCAGGATTCATTGTGCAAACTGGCCGTGGGATCCGAACAGACCGACAGCATGTCCCGCATATCGGCCGGGATATCCGACAATTTCATGTCGTCGTACAAATTCTTGAACGGCATGTTCTTGGCCGCGGCGCGGCGCAGACTGTGGTTGGAGAGGCCAAAGACGGGATCTTCCATGCCCAAACCAGACACTTGTCGCATGATTTCACGTGTTCGTTTCGTGGGCAATTCCAAGACTTGCAGTTCCATGCCATTCCTATTGTTGTCTTGTTGTGGTGGCACTACTACTGCGCTGCCTCTCGCCGCTGCCTTTTTCAGCCCCTTTTTTCGAGGAAAGTCAAAGTTGGGAATCACCACGTCTCCCGCAGATTTGACCCGAGCTTTCGCAGCAGCAGGGGATGTCGGGGGAAAGGGAGGATCAAAGACCACCACGGCGGGGTCTCCTCCTCCAAATTGGTCTCCTCCAAACTGAAACTCTTCGGCTTTCATCATTGTCATTTAGTATTAGTTTTGCTCAACTACTACTAGTGGTTAGTAGTAGTCAATGGAGTTGAGTTGGCGGTGGGTGGTGCTGCCGCAATGATGAAGAATGCTTTGTGCTCTTGACGACGAAAGCACTTGAAACTGCCCGTCGCACTTGCTTCGCAACCATCAGATTCTCTCCTCTTCTCCTCTTCACGAAATTTTCAGAAAGAGACGGGAGTGACAGGACAAGGAACCATGACTTTAAATCATATTTGGTACATGAGTGAGATATCTTTTTCCGGTGTCCTCGTTGTTATTTCAATCGTTGCCAAAGAACAGACTGGTTGTCATTCTGTTATAACAATTCTGCAGAATCCCAAAATTCTGCAGAATTCAGAGAAAATATCTGCAGAAAAACAAATTCTGCAGAATTTTAATTTTTTTCTTATGCAATTCTGCAGAATTTTATTTTTCTGCAGAATTACGAGTCATAGGCCATTGAAGTCCTGAACCCAGTAAAG